CGGGATGTAATATTGTTCTTCCACAATATTACTAGTTAACAACAAGAAAGGTGTAAAATATATATGTATATATTACGCGGTGAATTGGTAAGCAGTGATAAATGAGTTATATAATAAGCAAGCGTTGTGATTAACTAACAAATTCCTTGTCGTTGCTTCGATGATAGTTTGATTATCGTTTTATTGATAGGTTACGTAATGGTTGAGATATGAGAATTCGTCCTTCGTTGAACTGGGGATATGTTGCAGGAAATAATTTTAGCGAAAAGGAGAGATACTGTAGTCTGTTGTTCAATGATGGTGGTGGATATGCGAAGAGGATGTTGCAGTTTGCTTGATTAGTAAAAAAAAAAAGAAAAACTGAAGTTTCGAATTTTTCCTCATATATATGTAAGGATGAGGGAGGAGTTTTGTAAGGGATCATCATGGAGGCATCGCTGCCCTTTGGCATTGTCCATTATGTAGGTACATTGGATATCATTGTCTGTGGTGTAGATACTGAGATGTCTTTCTGTTAATGCTATCCATTGTTAGCTTATATTCTCTTCATTGCTTTAATTTTACAAGGTTTTGGGAAATCTTATTTGAACATAGCTTTAATTTTGGTAATCCGGCAGTAGCATCTGCGAAGTGCTAATAAAATTAATTTTTTGATTGATAACATATCAATTCTTTTCAGTCTTCTGATTTCAGGATCATTTTTACCCAGTGTATATTTTATTTTCACATACGTGTAAGTTCACGTATGTGAAGATATAAAAATGCATAATTGACATGAAGAGACAATTTGATTTTTCCACGTTACTTATATTTATAATGATAAACTATACGTAAGTGTATAGACTCTATACATTGTTATAATTACGGAACAGTGATTTTGACCTTTTTTTGACCAGATCACTCTGGCTTCTAAGATATGCAAGATTTGAAAATAATAAATTCTATTAATCAAAACTTTCAACGTATCAGTCAAGCTTAAATATAAAAAAGAATGAGCACATTTTTTAATATCTCTTGCGAATCGGCTGATCGAGGTACAGGGTGATGATATTGTTGAATTGTTGAATAACTAACAAACACAACGTTTATAATAACTCCATTACCATCAACCAGTTAATGAGTTAATTTAAAAAAATGCAAACAAAGATCACTTCCAGTTCAAATCAGAGAGAAGTGTACGTTGTTTCTCAAAATTAGCGAGTTTAAATTTCGACGATGTTTGAAGTTTTTAAACTGGTATCTTTGGAATCTGAAATAATAACGTGAAATTTTTACAATCGCCAAATTCGAATTTTAAAAGAATTCTTCAAAACAATGGTATAAATGGCTAAAATTTTTCATTTACAGCATGAAGAAAAAAAAAGAAATGTCTGACATTATGTTGCTGTCTTCTCAGAAGAAGCTTTACAAATTGGACAAAAAGTCTATAACCAGGTTTCGAGCAAATTAGACTTATCTCTAGCTGGGAAACATCTAAACCGACAACTCTTCCTTTCTCCACCAGCAGTTCCTTATCCGGAATGCAGATCAAAAGCATATACCGCTTTAATTCATGGCTATAACTTGAAATCTGAATAGTACATCACTACTTACTGCTTTTTTAAGCGCTTGGTCAAGATCCTGGATCAAGTCCTCAACATCTTCAATTCCCACTGATATTCGGATTAGATTATCACTAATGCCCAGTTTGATTCGATCTTCCAACGGCACTGAAGCATGGGTCATTGCGGCTGGTAGTTCTGCTAGACTCTCAAAACCACCGAGTGATTCTGCCAAAGTGAAAATCTGTAAAATATGAGTTAACAGCCAAGAAACTAAATCATTTTAATTTTCACAATAAGCTATAAAAATAAATATTTTGAAATGTGCTCCTATCTTAAGCCAAATCTACATATACCTTTAAACTAGACAGAAATTCTTGAGATTCTTCCAGTCCACCTTTCAAATAAAATGACATCATACCGCTCATCCCTCTAGTTTGCTTTTTATGAATCTCATGTTGTGGATGAGATTGAAGTTCGGGATAAAAGATCTGAAAGTTTAAATTTACAAATCTGACAATAAAAAAGAATTTGAAAAATTTCTAATTAATTAACTAACTCGTCCAATTCTAGGATTACTTTCCAGGAATGTTGCAATTTGTATAGCATTAACCATATGTGCTCGCATTCTAACATGCAATGTTTTTACGCCACGATTTACCAAAAAGCAATCAAATGGTGATGGTACTGCACCAACAGCTGAAAGATATCATTGAAACTGCACTTAAAAAAAAAAAAAAAGAAAGAGAAAACTAAAGTAAAATAAAATAATAAATTTAAGTTAAATTTGAAAATATATCTTATCTGAACATTTGTACTTTGGATATTTCCAAAAAATTATTTTAAAAAATGATTAAATTTAACTGATTAATGCAAGTGCCAAAAGCATTCCAGAAAATAGTTTTAAATTGGCAATTTTAATTTCAGGCAGTGAAAAATGCAAAATTAAGATATTTTGAATTTTCGATTTTCTGATCAAATTAAGAGATGGATGCGTCCTTCTTTAAGTACTTTAAAGGTATGTTAAACAACTTGCATTACATGAAGGAAAAATTAGACTGGATATACGGTTATCTAACGGAGACTAATCTAATTTATTTATTTTTTCTTCAGCACTAATATTTCGGAAATCTTTTCCGGAATTTCTTATTAATTATTTTAAAACAAAAGGGAGAAAAAATGCACACACCAAGTTGTTGAAATCTTAAAGCTTCATCTAAAGATTTGATATTCGTAATTACAGCACCCATTACAACATCAGAATGACCGTTGATGTATTTCGTAATTGAATGTAGCACAGCATCAGCACCAAGTGATAATGGACGCTTTAAAAAACAAACAAATAATTTTCAACTTTTCAATTTTTTATAGATACTAATGAAAAAGTTAAATTATGATACGGTAAACATTAGTGATGCATCAATTTCAATTGATTATGGTATTCCACATTTTGTACTATTACCAGAAAAAAAAATCCAACAAAACGAACTTGAAAATAAGGTGACATGAAGGTATTATCCACAATCATCAGGATGTCACTTCGGAAAGTTTTCGTGATTTCTACAACAGCTGCAATATCTACAATTTTCAACAATGGATTCGATGGTGTTTCAAGCCATATCATCTGCAAATAGCATTAACTGCTTTTCTATAAATTTCATCCCTCTCTCCCCATAACTTTACAATGATAAAGGAAATGATAAGAACTTGAGAGTAAAGTGACAAATATCCTAGAAATTTGTGAAATAAACCAATATTCACTTAAAGAAAAAAGTAACGTAAAATACAAACATACAATTATAATGGAAGTGAACCTAAAAAGCTTTAAGTGTTCTTTCAGATTTTGAAAGTCAATCTGTAAATATGGAAAATTTATTGGAATACGCGGAAATCCTTCTGATACGGTTAAATTTACCTTTGTATTGCTTTTCAAAGCTTGGCTAAATGCTTTCAGATCAGTCATATCAACGAATGAAATTTCTAAGCTATGCTGTAGAACAGAAACTTTCCGGAAATAACGTTGAGTGCCTGAAATATAAGCAAAAATCATACGGATGACAAGGCAACTTAAGCAGTTTGTCCGGATTCTTAAATTAAACTTAAATTGTAACGGAAATTGTTGTATTAAAACAGGGAAAATGCAAATTTAGTAAAATCAAAGGTATCATTTGCATTATTGTTTTGACAACTATCCTGAAGTTTTTGAAAAAAAAAAAACAAAAATAACAATAATAACAGAATCTGTACCACCATAAACATCATCACAGCAAACGATATGATCACCAGATTTGAGTGTATTTGTGATTGCCATTGTAGCAGCAAGACCAGATGAATATACTCGGCCTAAAAAAATTAATCAATCACAAGTTTGAAACTTTTAGCAGAAATACTGTCGTATCATGATTTAACTTCTAGAACTTGGGTGTTAAATGCTCAACTTATGGTTCGATATATAATTTAATGTAAAGAGAAAAATGAAATCTCATTTTCCAAATTCAATTTTTATTATCAGTTGTAACAAATGTTTAGTGAAGGAACAATTTACTATTCCGGAAGAATAGAAAAGATACTGGAGATTCTCCTTGGATATCCCGGTGATGTATTAGCACCATTTTAAGGAACGATTTCATACAACACTTACAATATTCTCCTTCTTCCAAAGAAGCCAGGCATTTCTCCAGAACATCACGGGATGGATTACCAGCACGCGAATAATCATACTTTTTGGGTTTCCCTGGTTCCAGTTGTTTGAATGTTGTTGAGAGTGATATCGGTGGGATAATCTGTAAAAGATGTTTGTTTCGAATTTTGTTCATTTAAAGATGGATTTAGTTTTAAAAGAAGATTGCCTGTATAAACGATTTGGTTAAATATTAAACATTTCAAACATTATCAGTTACTCATACAGTACATGAATTCCTCATTCCATCTTTCACTTATCCCATCCAATGATCGGTTGAAAATTTTGAAGATTATTTTGAGAAATTATCAGAACGAAATGAATAAAATCGTACTTTCACGCTATCAATTGTCGAGTAGTACCAACGAAAATCATTTGCATCTAGACGTGACGGAATATCTCGATCACTTGCAGTAAAGTGATACCTACATATTACTACTACAACTTACGCTATTTGATGATGACTAATGATTAGGAACGAGAAACGCAAAATTAATTTTTCATGAGAAGTAATTGACACTGAAACTGCAACAAAATTTATTTCAGTAAAAGAAAGGACAGATATGACAAAAAGTAAATAGTAAGCTAACCTGATTCGTATCCCATTGTTCCGGTTCTTGTCCGATATGAGTAGCATTCGTACCAAAGTGTGGGAAATGTTCTTGATGATTAGCCATTTGTTGTTCTTTTGTTCGGTGGAAGATAACCCTGAAAGAAGATAAGTGAAAAAATTTAATTATACTAATTAAATGATCGTATGGCGAGGGAAAAAAATATATTTGATGTGGTTACGGATTATGATACTTACAGAAATACGAGATTGGAGAGCCATCACTTGGTACAAATAATATACATACATGCACAATTAATGAAATTTTGGATTGTCTGAATCCTTGGGTTACTTGATGGAAACAATCCTCAAGATCAACCGGCAACCGGAATTGGTGAGGTTTGTCGGTATCTGCGACTACTGTGTTTATCCGCTCAACGAAATCGAGGGTATTAGACCTCAGAATAATTAGGGACAGCTGGTCACTAGAATCACTTGAAAATCTAATGACTTAATACAGTGCATTTCCTGCTGTAGCACGGCTGAATGTTAAACTTAGTCATGTACAATTAAATGAAACTTGTTCGGGGCATACAGCCATATGATGTACCCAGCTATCATCACATCGAAAGAATGATTATTTAGGTTAGCTATGGTATCAGGTACTGGTACTAAATCATTTGGTGCTACTAGCTATTAGATCTGGTATTAGATCAATTACTAGTACTGGTACTAGATCAGTTACATAATGAAGTGCCTCTATCTTGTTGCACCACAAATGTTTACTTATATGCAACTAATTAACTTGCCATGGAATATTCAACCATTTTTGGTTATAGTATAATCTCAAATGATTTTGATCCTTTGAATTTTTAATAAATATCAAATTCTGCAACAGCAAGTGTACTTCATTAGCTATTCACTTTGAAATATTTTCCTGTTAAGTAAGAATTTATAATCTAAGAATTTATAATCTAATAAGGAAAAATGTAATTTTAATAAAACCAATATGACAAGTGTTTATGTAACCATGCTTTATGATTCAATCGATTAATTAGCCAATTAATTATATCTGAGAGGACGGATTGAGTTCAGTTGCAAAACCGTATATACTGTTATGAGATTAATTAAATGATGGATGGGAAAACGAGAAAATAAATCAATACTACTGGGAATTAATAAAGTATTCTCTTTCGAACAATTGCCTCTAATCCTAAAATCAATCAATATATCATATTATCATTATGCCTAAAAAAAATCAATAAATTACATCACCTAGATATTTCATTATGCTAAATGGGTTATTTTCTATTTTACGAACGAACTGGACTTTATACATTTACAAGATCTTATTCTTTTTTTTATAAAAATTACAAACATTTGTAAATTTATAAATTAAAATTACGAAATGAAAGGTTTCGAAAAAGAACAAACATCCAATTTTGAATCTTTTAATTAGTGAATTTCTTATAAATGATCAAAATCAATCAATAATGCAAACAAAGCAATCATTAATCAATGAATTTATTGAAATTTAACATGAAATATAACAAAGTTGTAGCATTTTTTTTGTTATTGATATGTAAATATTTTTGATAAGAATGGAAAGGCAATTAATTATTCAAGTACAACTGAATGTTGAAATTACTGTATAAAGTTGTAACTATCAATCCTTTTCTTTTATCCTATTTGTAAGGATCCATAAACAATAAGAACATTTTTTTTTTTTAAGCGATATAAGAATGAAACTACTAGGTGATATGAAATATTAACTTAGTTCGTAACTACTAGGTGATATGAAATATTAACTTAATTCGTTAGCAAAAGATGAGTAACAAAGGTTATTAGCCATCATGTAATACGTGGGATGTAATATTAGCCAACATGTGATAAGTAGCATCAAATATTAGCCAGCACAATATTAGCCAATGGGTAACACATAATATTAGTCAATAAATGATCCTTGGACTCATTCATTTAAATAAGAAAGAGAATTAACAAAGAAGCGATTAATCTGCAAATTTAATGGATGAGAAAAAGAAAAAATTGAATCAATAGAATTAAAACAAAAGCAAAGTATTAAACAAATGGAATACGCCACGTTATGAGACGTTAGAAGACGTATTTAAGATAATGTATTTGAGCATTTTTGAGAATTGTAATAAATTAAAAGGAGAAGTGAAAAACTATTCTTATACAAATCATACAGTTTATTGGCTCTTCCCGATACTGTCACCAAATTTGTCCAGTTGTTTGTCGTTACATCTCTTCATCGAAATTAAACAACAAACCGTATAGAAAGGAAACGATAAGTATAGTAATGTAATTTATCATTTCTTTTTATCATTTTCTCGTCACTTCTACGAGATTTTTTTCGTTTTTTTTACACAGCAATACGTACTTCATCGTAACCATTAACCATTATCAACACTGAACTTTCACCTTTCCGTTTCGTCTTCTTTCAGCAATATTTCAACATCATTCATCTCCATCTATTTAAATTCTCAAAAAAAATATTACTGCCACTACTATAGCTGTTGCTACTAGAAAGAATTTCAATATATGCATATTTTATAACTAAATTTAGTATTAATTAAGTAATAATTAGTCGTTGATTTAATAACTTATTCACGTAATAGACTTGAAATTTTTCGCATTAAACGCACGTGAACAACAAACAATAGTTGTATCACTGGGAATCAAAATATTTAATGAGTGGATCATTGGCAGCGTAAGATGAAATGACTCAAATGACGCAGTCTCGTAATCAATACTTTTAGAGATCTACGTGTTCGTAAAAGTAAAAGTTGGTATGTGTAAAACAAGAAAAAAGAGTGTTAATAAATAAGAAAAGTAAATTAGATTGATAGAATTGCAAAGATATTAGGTGAGTAAATGACCGAAATACTGATTACATACAGATAGATTCCTTTGAGGTCATTCGTGAAAAAAAAAAAAGGTTAAAAGTCACTTTGTCACTTTGTTACGTTTTATGTTTAATACGCCAGCAATTTGTATGAACAGCTTTATTTGATTTATTTCTTGAAATGATTCATTATGCAAATGATACGATTGTCGCTCGTATGTGACAAGTTTTGTAGTTTAATTTTCTCCAAATAAATGATCATATCACTATTTAACCATTTGACACGTTTGCGAATTTTTATTAAAAAAAAATGAGTTTCATATGATTAACAAATAGTTTGGCAAAGAAGAATAAATGAAATTTGATTAATTAAGTAATTATATTTATGCATATATAAACAAAAATGGAAATATACATTACGGATGGAATGAAATTTATTCGCCGTACTTAACAGTGAAGAAAAGGTATTGGACAGGAAGATTGCAACTGATAATTTCAATAACAGTGATAATAGTAATTGACAAATAGAAGCAGTATAATAAATACATTGGGAAAAGTAGAACTTACAGTAAGCATAAAATAGGTGATTAATAAAGCAATAGTTAATTACATGATAATATATACAAATTAAAAACCATATCAATATGATTCATTTATTGTGTCCAAGTATAAAAGAAATTCCAATTTAAATGGTAATAAAATTTGGCACAGAAAGAACTGAAATTTGAAAAATAAGTGGCTGGAAGAATT